GACGGTGGTGATGCCTATTGCGAATGAGTTTGCTCCGGACGTGGTGCTGGTTTCTTCAGGCTTCGACGCTGTGGAGGGCCACCAGCCTCCTCTGGGAGGGTACAAACTCACAGCCAAATGTAAGTGTTCTGTATATCCATGTACTTAGAAACATTCTCGTGGAATGAAGCGGTTCAGAGCAAAAGGATGAGTCATTACCGTGAAAGTCAGCCTTTGTCCCACTCCTCTCTCTCTCGCTCATTTCTCATGTCTAAAAGCTTTCATTTCAGGCGAATTTATCATGTGCTAATACCACAAAAACAAGAGACCACACTCTTGTGTGCAAAGTCTAATCCCTGAAGGGAGGGATTGTACCAGTCATCCGGTCTCATACTTTCAGATCCCTGATGTTTTTCCTTTATTTTTTCCCCCCCATGTGTGCATAATATCAAGATGGCATTCCAGGCTTGTTTCTAAATCAAACATTTAATGATTGTACAGCACTTGTTATTGGGGTCCAGAAAGCTGCTTTTATCCTGTTAGAGGGATCATAAGGCCAGCTCTTGTAGATTACATCTCCTGGTGAAAGCTGTCCATATGTCAGTGCTGGAAACGCAAAGTAGAAACACTGTTCGCTTAAAACATTTGCCCAGAGTCTAAAGAAAGACAGGTTGTCCGGTCTGAATTTGCACCATTCCTTGCATCTAAAAGTGAACTTTATATCAGATTCATTCCATCTGCTGATCTAAGAATGATTCGATCTGTGCCGGCGTTTGTTTTTCATTTTTCTGCTGAACTTAATGAAATAAGTCACCCGATAATTATTTCTGACGTTATGCTCTCACCCTATTGCCGTTTCAAAATTCGTACTTGGTTTTTGTCTTGTTCAAAAAAGATGCCACATTATTTGTACGCCATATGTCAAGTTTGAATGAAACACATTTTTATTGGCTCATTTTATCTCTACAAGAACTCATAAAAGTCTCAAATTCAAATTTGGGGAATATGATGGAATTCTAGTTTCACCAAGTTTGGCATCATTGACAGCAAACACTGTTTGGTTTTTGTTTGTCATAACTGAACATAGTGAACATTTATAACAAAGTCATAAATAGCTTTGTTTCCCCACACAAAACTTCAGGGTGACTTGAAATATATAGTGCACGTGTCACACAGTCTACGTTTATGATGGTTTATGGAGTGGGCTTAGTCACCATGAACTTTCATTATGTGGACAAGAGCATCGTAAATATTCTCCAAATTCATAAGTAACGAGTTTGGAACGACACAAGGATGACTGATAGTATTGCTCTAATTTACAATGTAAACGCCAGAGGAGAAATAGCCCCCGAATGAGCCTGGGTTTTCCCAATTGGGTCACCTGATGGAGTTTTAGGACACCATTAGGTCACCTGATAGAGTTTGTCGGTTCCTTGCCACTGTTGCCTTTGGCTTGCTCAGTTGGGGATATTCCAATTGATTAACCAATCAATAATACCCTTGATCAGCTCTACCAAACGTGAATGTTTTTCCACTAAGAATTGAAAATTTTTGAGCGATACCGTGAAGCTGCTTTGATGCAATCAGAGATGTACAGTATAAAGTACTAGAAAGCCGGACTTGAGTAAAAGTACAAGTGCTCTATGAAAAAAGAGACTTGAGTATTAGTTGAAGTGCTCTTTAAGCACCACACTTAAGTAGAAGTACTAAAGTATTCAACATTTTTTGTACTTAAGGATTGCAAGTAGGTTATTTTAAAATTCACTACTTAAGTACTAAAAGTAAAAGTACAAGTATTGTGTCATGTAATTATTAACTCTTTCCCCGCCAAACACGGAATTTTCCGTGTTTAATGAAAAAACGCATCCCCGCCAAACACGGAATTTTCCGGGTATCCGTGTTTTAGGTGGTATACGGTAAGGAAGACCCGCGCGCATGTTCTGAATGAGTGCGCAACTCTTTGATCAGAGAAACAGATTGCAATCGTCTCAAACAGTGAGTGAGAATGTATCAGACAGACAATGCAGAGGTATATGGCTGAAGTACTGGAGGTTAATGGACTCGGAGTCCGATCACTCTTTATTGATAATTCTGAATCTGATCGGGACGAAGTAGTCAGTGAGAGAGATGCACATGTTGTCACAGAAAGTTCTAGCCATGGACGTGCCGCAGATAGATCGTATAATATTATGACACTATAATATTTATGTGTGGCTGTCTAAATATGAAGGTGTAATTGTCAAATTATTTCTCTCTTTGTGCACATTTACCAACATTGTAATATGTATTTGTGTGTGTGTGTCTAGCCTGTTATTGTAGGCCTAATTCCAATTATTCATTATTCACAGTAGAGCACAGAGAGGCAGAGGCAGAAGTTTTATTGCAAAAGTTACATTTCCCTTACATCCTGGGAAATTTGATATATTTTACATTTATTTATGTTTTTAATTTATTTTGGAAAGTTATATATGAAGAAACAACATCTGAATGTATTCTGCTTTTAAATGCACTGTTTGATAAAATACCTTTTTCTCAGTTTTTTGTCCAAAATGTTGTGTTTTGACAAAACCTACCTTGTTCAAGAGGCAATAAAAAAAGAACAAATGAAGATAAAATAAAAACGTTTTTTTTTTTGCCTAAAAGCAGAGGCTCAGATCTTTATTTTTATATATATCATCTTCATATATTCATGGAAGAAAATATTCAGCGGGGCATTAAAATTTAGCAAAAATCGTCAAAAACCCTGGCGGTGGCTGGCAACTTTTTTTTAAAACGCTGGCGGGGAAAGAGTTAAAGAAAGCAGTCAAAAGTTTAAACTAGCAATCAAATAAGGCGCTTTGGCGGGATACAAATTTGCTTTGGCGGCCGCCAAAAAAATGTCATTGCAGGACAACTCCTGCATTAGTTGTCAGTGTGTGTGTCAATCAATACCATTACCCTATAAAACTGACGTGTGATTTAGGCAGCATGAAAGCCAACTTGCAACAAATGATTTGTAATTTTTTTATAATTGTAACAAGTAACTAGCAGAACATTAAAAAAATATCGAAGTAAAAGTATTAAATTCATCGAAAATATCTACTAAAGTAAAAGTAGAAGTATGAGAAAAAAACAATACTCTAGTAGAGTACAGATACAGCATTTTAGTACTTAAGTAGTTCTACTTTGTTACCATACATCTCTGGATGCAATCTGCATTGTGAAAAGTGCTATATAAATATACTTGACTTGACTTGACAAATATCAGGTTTAAATTATACAGCACTTTTTTTAATTTTTTTTTTTTTTTTTTTTTTTTCAACATTGACAGCAAACGCCATTAGTTCTTGCATGTCATAACTGATTTGGAGAAGAATTAGGTTTTTCAGTGAATTGCATCTTACAAAGCTATTGAAAAACTTCAGAATACTTTCTACAGACTTCTTTTACGAGGAGGTACCGGTCACGATGAATTGTCGTTGTATGGTAAAGAGCAGCGTAAACATTCTCCAAATGTCTTCTTTTGTCTTCTCATACAAAATAACAGTATAAAACTTTTGAACGTCACAAGGGTGCATAAATAATGTTGGGAGTACCATTCCTTTAAATTATTCAGAGTAGCTGCGGTTCTGGTGCACAAAGTTGGTATCAGTTGAAGAACATCCCATTGGACCATGTCATGCCAGTAAAGAAATAAACCTAAATAAAATTATCTAGGATGGCCTTGAATCTGATTCTTTTGGAAAGGGGAGGTATAGTCAGATACATATTTTCAAACAAAGATCAAAAGATGCCAAAAAACGAAGCCACATTTATTAAAATTAAACCTGCCTTGTATTATATGTTTAGTCCCAGTAAATCCAGAGTGTCATCTTTTTAACGGAGAGAATGTGATGTAATACTTATTTTTTTTTCTTCATCTCTGATTTCTTTGATCGAGTGCCAGCCACCGGTGTCTATAACCCCCTCTTGTATTTCCCATCTCCCCCTTTGGCAGGTTTTGGCTACCTGACCAAGCAGCTGATGGGACTGGCCGGCGGCCGGCTGGTGCTCGCGCTGGAGGGGGGTCACGACCTCACCGCCATTTGCGATGCCTCCGAAGCATGTGTTTCTGCTTTACTTGGAATCGAGGTAAGAGCAGACTGGAGATCAGACGAGGAGGGTGACTCAGGGATGGACGGGGCTTTATGAATGGAGGGAAACTTGAAGGGGTTTTACAGAATGACAACATCCTCCAATGTTCAATAATATGGATTTTATATCCAGCTGAGACAGCTTTTCAGATTGTACTTGTCTTGAGAGAAAAATTGATAGTTTTAAAGGTGAAGTTATTACTGCAGTTCTAATGATGATGAACAGAGCTGGGAAAATTATGACTGTTCTAGTTTCAAACAGTTTCAACTCTTTCAATAATTGGACAAATCGTTAGTTCCACCTCGCTCACCATGATGTTATCAATGATGCCATTTGATGACACGGACATTGCAAACTCAACATATCTACACTCCAGTTTCCTGTAAAAAAATTGAAATATATATACCTGTCTGTCAAATTAATTAAATGTGATTAATCGCATCTAACATACAAGAATAAGTTTGGACACCCATGCTAAAGTTGCCTAAAAAGAGGAATAAAAAATCATCTTTTGGATATTGATCTTAATGTCTTAATTAGAAAAATGAGGAAAACTCCAACCTTTAAGGACACAAATTTTCTTTGTGAATGAATAATGTATCATAAATAAATAAATGTTTTTCCTTAAAATACAGGGTGCATAAGTCAGGACACCTCTTTGTTAAATTCCCATAGAGTCAGGCAGATTTTTTATTTTAAAAGCCAGTTATTTCATTGATCCAGGATAATATGCATATAAAGTTCCCTTGGCCTTTAGAATTAAAATAGACCCACATCATCACACACCTTCTACCACACCTAGAGATTGGCATAGGGTACTTTCCATAAGATCATCTTTCAATGCAAATCAAACCTGCTATTAGGCTAACTGAAGTAAAACCATGCCAATCTCAAGGCATGGTGAATGGTGTGTGATGATGTGGGGATATTTTAATTCCAAAGGCCAAGGGAACTTTATCAGGATGCATATTATCCTGGATCCATGAAATAACTGGCTTTTAAAAATAAAAATCTGCCTGACTCTATGGGAATTTAACATAGGGGTGCCCTGACTTATGTACCCTGTATTTTAAGGAAAAACATTTATTTATTTATGATACATCATTCATTGACAAAGAAAATTGGTGTCCTTAAAGGTTGGGGTTTTCCTCATTTTTCTAATTAAGGCATTAAGATCAATATCCAAAAGATGATTTTTTATTCCTCTTTTTAGGCAACTTTAGCATGGGTGTCCAAACTTATTCACATCACTGTATATAATATATGTGTGTATGTACTGTATTTACTATATTGTAACTGAAACTTGTTTTATTAATTTAATATATAATTAATTTTTTACAGGAAACTGAAGTGTAGATGGGTTGAGTGTGTCATGTATTTATTTGTATTATTAAATTAATCATAATAATAAAGGAAATTGTAACTTAAATATATACTCAAATAATATTTTACATATAGTTTATTATTTATATGATTATAAGTGGAGTTTAATTATTAAGAATTCTTTGAGACACATTTACAGCAAATAACAAACTTTATCAAATTATTTTTTAGTTAAATAACCAATTTTAAGCGTTCCTGTGCAGTCTTAACTGTTAATCTATGCTGGCATTGTGTTGAGTCAGGGTGACATCGCCATTGCACCTCTTCACGCTGTGTCACACTTTGTGAATTTTGTGTTAAGTAGTTTTCCAAAAGAATCCCATCATGTATCTTCTAGCTGACTTTGAGAGCAAGTCTTCTGCATACTGATAACTGGCCAAACTGGGCAAGTGAAGCTCTTTTATTACTGGCCGTCGGCCTTGTTCTCAAGCCCTGTCCTCTGTCCTCCCACCCAGCTTTTGTACAGGGTGTCACAGACTAGATGTTTGTCAGGGTGTGTGTTTAGCAGCACTCCCTTTGTGCTGGCCAGCCACCAAGGTTCAGCTGACACAGTCAAAGTCCAGTCTGAGGGTGGGAGTGAAAGAATAGCGAACGGTTCACTGTCCGCACATGGAGAAACAAGACAAATGAAGCTTTAGGGCGTCATTTATCCACTTGTCTCTGTGTCAGAGGAAGAATAATTTCTTTTATGTTCCCATCTCTCATCTTCACTGCTATTCTTTCTCTTCATCTTCTTTATTCAGGGCCTTTCCTTTCCTTTCTAAATCAAATACGTTCACATTTTGGCTCTAAACAGCAGCCTAAATGAACCTCATACGGGATTTGGAACGCTGTACATAGACGTCAACTTGGTGCATCCAGCCTCGAAAATCGCTTACCTTGATTTTCTGATCATGCAAGAGTGGCATGGACGTGTATGTGTTGGTAGTAAAGCATTAATGTTAAATCCTGAAAGTTAAGTTGTTTTGTCAAAACGCAAAATTTGATCCTTCATCATACTGTATGAGCCCATTTGTTTTCGTTTACATGCTTTAAATATGTTTTATTCTCAAGAGTTAATAGAGCCCTGATGTTGACTTCATAGAGATTCGTTTGACAGGATTGCATTGACAGTGAATTGACAGGCTTTCGGACATCAGAAAATGTGTGTATTTTGAGAGAGTGACGATGTGGCAAATCCATACAGAGTTGACTTCTATTGGTAAAGGAGAGAACCTGTTGAAACCATCCATGCAGACCCATTGAGCCTCTAAAACACGATCCCAGCCTATGTGGATCCCGACATTTACACTTGTGCTGAGTTTATACGGCTTCCCAGAGGCTAGCTTAGCTGAGCGCTGGAGGTTAGTGTTGCCACTCTTACGGTCAGATGAGAGGACGGGCCTCATTCATGGTGTTATTGAAGCTCGAGAGACAAGCCTGTAAATGCATTCCTGGAACAGTAAAAGTGAGCTGTCTCCACTCCATTTCTGGGGATGAGAGGAAAATGAACAGGATAATAAAACAACGTGATTGTGGTTATGTGCTCTCTGTGACTTCTGCACCAAAAATTCGACTTATGTTAGTTAGTTCTGTCACTAATTGACACTTTTGGTGTGCAAATTTCAGATGTTATCTCAGTAAATACAGTAACAGTATATAAAAAAAAAATTAACAGCATCATTACTCCAGTCTTCTGTCACATGATCCTTCAGAAATCTTTCTAATAAGCTGATTTACTGCTCAGGAAACCTGATTTGCTGCTATTATTATTATCATCGGTATAATTTGTGCTGCTTAATATTTTTGTGACTCTTTGAAAGTTTAAAAGATCAGCATGAACTAGAATTTTATTTGTAGCAACATAAAAGTCTACTGTAACTTTTAATTTAATGTCCTTGCTGAGTGTAAGTTTTAATTTAGTTTCAAAAATCTTAACAAAACAAAAATCTTACTGACCCCAAACTCTTGAATATTAGTGCAAGATGCTTTAATTTTAATTTTATATACATTAAAATATTGTTGTAAAAAATCACAAAAGTTCTCAAAACTATTTTGCAAAACTTTTTTATTCTTTTTAATACCATTGCCTTATGCAATCAACAATAATTTTAATTAGTTATATAAACATTCTAATCAAGTCAGAGCTCACCAGGTTTAATAAGTTAATATTTTCTTTTCATTTTTGCATTGCTGCAAGTGAGCCTATTTCTTGTAGCTTTTTATTTGTTACTACTAAGTGTTGTTTGGATATTATTATTATTATTGAGTGTCAGCTCATTAGTCATGTTATGAATAATAAGAATAATATTAAATATTACAAGAATAGAATATCATTAATCATTATACACTCTCAGAAAAAAAGGTACAAAAGCTGTCACTGGGGCTGTACCTTTTCAAAAGGTAAACTTTTGTCCGTTTTAGGTGCTAATATGTACATTTTAAGTGTTAATATGTACATTTTAGGTGCTGATATGTACATTTTAGGTGCTAATATGTACATTTAGGTACTAATAAGTACATTTTAGGTGCTAAGTACATTTTAGGTGATAATATGTCCATTTCAGGAGCTAATATGTACATTTTAGGTGCTAATATGTACACTTAGGTACTAATATGTACATTTTAGGTACTAATATGTACATTTTTGGTGCTAATATGTCCATTTCAGGAGTTAATATGTCCATTTTAGGTCCTAATATGTACATTTTAGGTGCTAATATGTACATTTAGGTCCTAATATGTACATTTTAGGTGCTAATATGTACCACTAAGGTACCAATATGCAGCCTTTGGGTACAAAAGTGTACCTTTTGAAAAGGTACAGCCCCATTGACAGCTTTTGAACCTTTTTTTCTGAGAGTAGTTGGATGGATAGATAGATGAATAGATAAATGGATGGAAAGAAAGAAAGAAAGAAAGAAAGAAAGAAAGAAAGAAAGAAAGAAAGAAAGAAAGAAAGAAAGAAAGAAAGAAAGAAAGAAAGAAAGAAAGAAAGAAAGAAAGAAAGAAAGAAAGAAAGAAAGAAAGAAAGAAAGAAAGAAAGAGTGATCTGTACATGTGCATGGGATAAGAATGAACTTTTCTCATTCCTCCACAGTCACAGGCTTGTCAGAAAGTATATGTGCTAACTGATCTGGACCTGTTTGCTTTTAGAGTAGAACCACATACTAGCAGTCTTAATTCAATAATCATAATCGCTTTACCTGCGCCAGTATTCAGTCGGTGGCAGACAGCGAGTCTACAGGCCCGCCTGACGCTGCCTTCATCTCCAGTTTGCCCCATGGGAAGGTTAGTTGTCATAGCAGGAAAAGGATAAAGGAGACGGAGGCATTGAGCAAGCAAAACTGCTCAGTATGGGCCCGTCTCAGCTGCCTATCGAGTGCACTCCCTGGAGGGATGTTCAGGGGGGGCTCAGAGTATCTCACGCTCGCTCTCTTCCCTTTCAGCTTTACAGACGCTACCAGCGGCCCATCTGAAAGCAGTTATCTTCACACCTCTCGCAGACGGGGTCACTGACAGCCAGGGAGACACATGCAGACTTAAAGTAATCAAAGGAAATTAGGAAGCATAAAGTACAGAGGAAGAGTATGTCATAAAGATTCAGAGTGGAAGGACTGACTATCCCATGAGCA